CTCTTGCGGAGGCTGAAGAGGTCCAGGTGCCCCAGTCTCTCCTCGTAGGGCTTGGTCTGCCGGCCCTTAATCATACGAGTGGCCCTTCTCTGGACCCTCTCCAGGTTATCCGCATCCCTCTTGAATTGCGGCGCCCAGAATTGCACGCGGTACTCCAACTGCGGTCTGACCAGCGCCCGATAGAGGGGAAGTATCACCTCCTTGGACCTATTCGTCATGCATCTGCTGATGCACGATAAAGTGCCATTGGCTTTTCTGATGGCTTCGTCACACTGCCGGCTCATGTTCATCTTGGCGTCCACTAGGACTCCCAGATCCCTTTCCACTTCCGTGCCACCCAGCAGGTCAGTCCCTAGGCTGTAGGTGTGCCGGACATTTCTCCTCCCTAGGTGCAGCACTTTGCATTTCTCCTTGTTGAACTGCATTGTGTTGTTTTCTGCCCACTTGTCCAACCTGTCCAGTGGTGTCCGAGAGTCCCTGCCAGCTCGGCCAGCCGCCCAGCGGATCTGGGACCGTGACAAGGGAGGTGCAAACAGCGCGATGCCTCATCGTGTGGGACACAACACGGCTTCCTCCAGCTCAAAAGGAACTACAAGCGCCAGCACCAGTCTGCTGGGCTGTGAAATGGGAGCAATAGATGAGGAGCAGCCAGCAAACAGAAGGCAGGGAGGTGGCGTTGGGGAGCTGCTGAAGAGCATTAATTAGGAAAGAGGGTGATTCGCAGCCCCCCACGCACTGGGGGATCCTTTCAAGGGCCTGCAAGCCGCCACACCATAGAGCAGGGCCCAGCACCCTGGCAGAGGCCGGGCAGCGCTGTGTGCAGGATAGCTCCCAGCCTAGGGACAAGCCCCTTTCCTCGGGATGGTATTAGTCCAGTTCCCCACTGCACCTTCCTGCCCTCCCAGGGGTCCCCCCCAGGCGTGGCCGGCCCCCCTGCTCCCCCTACGTGGCACCGGGCCCACACCTGCAGTCAGAGGCATGTGGCTGGATTGGGACCCTGGAACCAGGCAGCTCAAGGACTCGTCCTCTCACCCCAGCAGTTCGGGCCTGCTGGGAGCTTTTCCAGCAAACTCAAGCTCCTCATCCAGCCTGGCAATGCTGAAGTGGGGTGCCACAGTTCCCTGGGGTGCTACCAGCTCCTCCAAGCACTGCTGGGTGTGCAAACGTGCCTGGGCCTCGCAGCACCCCTGGCCCCCGTGCTCAGTGGCTGGCGGCTGCCTTGCCCGGGGCTGCGAAGAAAGGGAAGCCTCCGGGTGACGGGGGCCTGAGCCTCATGCGGGTGAGAGCAGCTTCCATCACCCCCGGCCCCCACAGCAGGCTCCATTCAAGGGGTCACACAAGCCTGGCTGAACTGGTTTGAAGCCTGGTCTAAACTGGGGGAACTGGGGAAGGGGCAGTAAGCCAACGGCATCACGCTGGTGAGCTCTGGGGGGGTGGCAGGGACCCGGCGATCCCCTGCCCTGGGGGACGCAGAAAGGCCACGCGGACGGCAGAGCTGGGTGCATTGCTTTATCCCCCGGCGCGGGGACACTGGTGGTGGCAGGAGTGTGGAAGGTGGCTCTGCCCCGCCACGGAGAGACAGTCTCGGCCGTGGCACTCACACGGCATCCAGCCACCAGCAGTGCTCGGGCTCTCGGTCTTTTCCACCAGCCTCGGCTTCAGCCGTCACCCCGGCTTTCACCAGCATGCACATGGCTTCCCCTGGAGACATGGGGCCTTCCTCTATGGCACAGCTGCCCTCCTCCTCCTCCTGCCCCAGCTGGGGGCAGAGGAAGCAGAGGGGAAACACGTGGAGGCCGGCGGAGCCGAGCAGGCACCCGAGGGCAGGCCCCCCAGGGCCACCAATTCTTCCCTGTTTGCAAACAAGGGGTCAAGCAGCGCACGGCCCCAACGCAGCTGCTCCAGCACTTGCCCCAGGACGTTGTCGCTGGGTCCATGGCTCCCAGGACAGCCCCCAAGTGCCCCAGCACCGGTCCTTGCCCCTGACCCTTGGCTGTCCTACACCGACTCGCTGCCCGCTGCACCCTTGCAGCCTGTGCCTGGCACCAGCGCCGCGGCCCGGTGATTCCAACCCAGCGTTGCAGGGCAGAGCTATAATTTGCGCAGCTGAAAAGTTCATCAGACACTAGCAGTAACTAAGCAATCGAAGGCCTAATTTGAGGCCCGATACATCAGCCATTCTAGTCATAAGCACACGATCATGCAAAGTCTTGGGTGCTGTTGACACGGGCTGAGGTTTTGGGTGATGCTCTGCCCCTCACGGCCTTGGGCCCGTTATTTGTCTGTGATTTTCAGCGTCTCTTGTCTTCATTCAGCCAGCATCTCCTGCATCTTGTTGACTCGGTCAATCACTTCCTCCAGTTTGGCGGCTGCCTCTTCGACCTTGGCCGCCAGCAATGCTTGGGTGCGTTTGAGGACCTCCGTGCTGGGCTTGGCTACAGAGAGGAGGTGCAGGCCTAGTGTGAGGAATGTAAGCGTGTGCGTGGCAGATCCCACGAAACTTTCAAGGCAGCTGGTGCACTCCAGCCAGTTTGCAGCTGTGGCCATCCTCGTGGGGTTGAGAACAGCGCACCCTGCTCCTGCCTCCACCTGCGAGATCACAAGCCGCAGGTCACTGTCGATATTATCTTCAGCGGTCTCTTGTACCCAGATGGAGAGGAGCCCCACGTACCGCTGGGTTAGCTGCACCTCGTCCTCACACCGGTCCATGAGCCAGTTGAACTCCTGCTTGACTCGACTCTGCGCGATGTAGGTCATCATCGCTGCTGCGCTGGTCACACCGCCTGCCAGGGAACCACCGAACCCCACGGGGGAGAAAGCCAGCATTGCCATCAAGGGCACAGTGCTGAGGCAGAGCGCCACGCGGAAGGCAATCCCAGCTGCCATGCCCAGTGGCCCTCTGGCAACGTTTGCTATCGAATATACCTCCTCTGCTCGCGCTTGTAGGGAGGCAGTTAGACCAAAGCTACCATGGAGCTGAGGATGGCAACCCAAGTAAAGGACAACAAGAAATTGTTTTTTAGATATATAGGGAGTAAAAGGAAGGCCCAGGGTGGAATAGGACCCCTGCTAAATGGGCAGAAACAATTGGTGCCGGACGGGGGCACAAGGCTGAACTCCTCAACGAGTTCTTTGCCTCCGTGTTCCTAAGC